CTGCTGGTTTTTCTTCTCTGACAGCTGGTTTTTAAAAAACCTGCCAACTTCAATATGGTTTCCTGTTCTTTTTAAAACTTGTTCTAACAAAGAAAATTATTTATTTTGAGCACCGCACCAACTTCTGCTGGATCTGAATCAAAGTTTTGCCGATATCCAAGTCCTGCTCCCAGCTGATTTCTGATTGGCTAGAAGGCCTGTCTAGTGTTGTTTAAAGTGAGAGCTGCACCTATGATAGGTCCAGATAAATGTTTGTTAAATATTTGGATGAGCAAGTGTGATTTTTCTTTCTTTTTTTCCCCCTGCAGGTAAGCCAAAACACTAACAGCCCTGAAAACAAAGTAATAATTGATGAAACCTGAAGCAAAAATGCACAATGTAAGTTTAAATATATAAATGAGGCCAGATCAGATGAACAATATAACAACGTATTGAACCAATATAGTCAGAATTTTAAAAATACAAAACAAAATGTGTGCATTAAAATAAAACAACACTCTGGACCCTGAGGAGAACTGGTTCAGTCCCATAAAGGTTGTGACGCACAATCCTTTAGTGGAAAGTTCTGAAGGGTTTTCATGTGTGAGTGGGTCCAGCGACTTGTCTCAGTTCCTTGGATCATCAAAGTCAGTATCCGAATGAAAAACCTGAGCAGTCGGGACACAAGAAATGCACCAGTCTTGTTTCAGGCTGTTACAGGTTTTTGCAATGAAAGTCACTTCAGAAACTAAAATTATTGTTAGCAAGATTATTTTTGATTATAAGATTGTTTACTGTTGATTGTTGCATCATGGACTTGTGTCCTGCACTGTGACTGCTGGATATGGGCACCAGTGACCCCTGTGATCCTGAAAAAAAGAAGTGGGTAAAAGGTGGATCATTATGAGAAAGCTGATGAAGCCACCTTTTGCTTTGATTACTGCTTCACACACTCTTGACATTCTCTTGATGAGCTTCAAGTCACCTGAAATGTTTTTCCAACAGTCTTGAAGGAGTTCCCAGAGATGCTTAGCACTTGTTGGCTATTTTGCCTTCACTCTGTGGTCCAGCTCTCCCCAAACCATCTTGACTGGGTTCAGTTCTGGTGACTGTGGAGGTCAGGTCATCTGGCAGCACCCCATCACTCTCCTTCTTGGTCAAATAGCCCTTACACAGTCTGGAGGTGTGTTTGGGCTCATTGTCCTGTTGAAAAATAAATGATGGCCCAACTAAACACAAACTGGATGGAATAGCATGCCGCTGCAAGATGCTGTGGTAGCCATGCTCGTTCAGTATGCCTTCAATTTTGAATAAATCCCCAACATTGTCACCAGCAAAGCACCCCCACACCATCACACCTCCTCCTCCATGCTTCACGGTGGGAACCAGGCATGTAGTCCATCTGTTTATCTTTTCTGTGTCGCAAAAAGACACGGTGGTTGGAACCAAAGATCTCAAATTTGGACTCATCAGACCAAAGCACAGATTTCCACTGGTCTAATGTCCATTCCTTGTGTTCTTTACTCCAAACAAGTCTCTTCTGCTTGTTGCCTGTCCTTAGCAGTGGTTTCCTAGCAGCTATTTTACCATGAAGGCCTGATTCACACAGTCTCCTGTTAACAGTTGTTCTAGAGATGTGTCTGCTGCTAGAACTCTGTGTGGCATTGACCTGTTCTCTGATCAGAGCTGCTGTTAACCTGTGATTTCTGAGGCCGGTGACTCAGATGAACTTATTGTCTGCAGCAGAGGTGACTCTTGGTCTTCCTTTCCTGGGGCGGTCTTCATGTGAGCCAGTTTCTTTGTAGCGCTTGATGATTTTTGTGACTGCACTTGGGGACACTTTCAAAGTTTTCCCAATTTTTTGGGCTGATTGACCTTCATTTCTTAAAGTAATGATGGCCATTCGTATTTCTTTACTTAGAATTTGTATCAAGGCAAGAAAAAAGCAGCTAACAGTCTATTCAGTAGGACTACCAGCTGTGTACTGTATCCACCTTCTGCACAACACAACTGATGGTCCCAGCCCATTTCATAAGGCAAGAAATCCCACTTATTAAAGCTGACAGGGCACACCTGTGAAGTGAAAACCATTTCAGGTGACTACATCTTGAAGCTCATCAAGAGAATGCCAAGAGTGTGTGAAGCAGTAATCAAAGCAAAAGGTGGCTGCATTGAAGAACTTAAATATAAAACATATTTTCAGTTGTTTCACACTTTTTTGTTAAGTCTATAACTCCACATGTGTTAATTCATAGTTTTGATGCCTTCAGTGTGAATCTACAAATGAAAATAAAGAAAACTCTTTGAATGAGAAGGTGTGTCCAAACTTTTGGTCTGTACTATAAGGAGATAAAGATCATGTTCATGTGAGAACTCCAGCCTGCCTGCAACACCCACATCACCTAATATAACTATCTAATCATCATGTACATCACAATATGAGGTAAGTGTAAATTAGAGACAAAACTGAATTCCAGGAGAGGAGAGGAGCCAGGAAGGAGCTCTAACATCCACCTCAGCTCAGACAGCACTGTAAAAACGGACAGACTTTTGCCACATAATGATATCTTTTCCATCATATTTTTATAGCAAGTGTGAAGACATTCTCACGTGATTTTCTCAAGGTTTGGTTAGACCCACCTAAAAAGAGCTGCTATGGGCAAGCCCAGCATCCCCATAAATCATATTTAATTTGATATCGCCAGACACCTAAATTGAGTGTAGGCCATCAAATGTTGCAGCTCTAAACAAAACAGGCAGTGTGATGGCCACTTTGATTCTGTGTGGTCACGGCCTCAGCACTGGGTTATAAGAAAAAAGCCAACACAAGAGCGTGATTTAGAGCTTTATGTGATTCCAGGTACTAAAAGTAGTTCAGTTTTTAAATCTCAACCTTCCACAGGCTCTAACGAGGGGGACCATTTACAGAGATTCAAACCTAAAATATCATATTAGTTATTCAAACATCAGAGATAAATGCTATGGTTACGGTTTCATCTTTGACCACAAAATTTTATGTAAGAGAAAACAATCATGTTTGAGTAGTTTTTTATTCAGATAATCGAGAAGAAACATTGCCTAGAGAAATATGGGATGCACATCAACCAATTCAGGTGTTTAAAACTGAAAAAATTTGATATAAAAAAGCATGGCCTTTTGGTCAAACTTTGAAAGTGGTGTGCAAAATATCATGCAGTCTGTCAGTGTTCAGTTTATGGGATGTAATTCAGTCAGTTTTACAGATACTGAACTAAAATTTAGCAGCTGTGATTAAATCACAAGATTTTCCATGAGAAATTTTGGAAAATCTACAGAATTTTTGACTGGAGTCAAATTTGTATGTCAGCAAAATAACTCATAAACCAGAGGGCAGATTTAAAGTCAGCCAACATACAGTATAAGTAGCGGTAACTTTGTTAAATTTTCCAATATTGATTTAAAGTTTAGCGTAAAAATAGCTTAAAATACTCAGAACACTGAGTTGTAATACTGCATGACACAACACATAATGTAATTTATAACATTTGACCAAAAATGGCTTCAGCTCCATCTTTTCTCATTATAAGATGATGGAAGCAGGTGACATGATTTGTTATGGTGCGTTCACACCGAACGCGATTTCAGCGTCAGGAGCAGCAGGTTTACATACAAAGTCTATGGTGGAGGCGCTTCAAGCAACGTCAGGAAGTTCTGCGGCGCCTCAAGCGCGATTAGAGCAGCGCGATTTGAACGATTTGAACGATCTGAGCGTTCGACGCGCTGAGGCGTAAATCGCTGAAGTTAGAAAATCTGAACTTTTGCAGCTCGACGCGCAGCGTCAACCAATCAGAGAGACTCCACTGTGTGATGTAACGACATATTTCCCAATGGGACAGTTTACTGAATGATGTCCACTGACCTGAAACAGACAGAGCTCCTGCTCTTTAGCTGAAATGAGTGCTGCAGTCGTGTCCTGATCCGCAGCAATGCGTGGCAGCGACTCGACTGAAAAAAATAGTCCTGAAAGCGAGCTGTGAGCCTCTACTCTGAATTATCTGGTGAATTAATTATGAATTAATTATCTGATGAACGTGACATGCTCTGGCTCTCTGTAAATAAAGCAAAGCCACTTCCTCGTCCGACATTAAACAGCCCCACAGAGGAGGGAGGGGCTGTCGCCGTGCAGCGCAGATGTCCTGCGTCTGACCTCAAAGTGCACAAGCTTCAAACTTCAGCGTTGGCTGCGATTTTGAAGCTGAAATCGCGTTCGGTGTGAACGCACCATTAGACTTTTAATGTTCTCTGCAACAACAGTCTAAAGTAGAGGTAATTACATTACTTTTTATCTGTTCAGAAGTAAACAGTCATTTCAAAACATTTGGTTATCGTAGATCTTTGCACACAAAACTGACTTTTGAGTTACAATTTTTTCAGAAACAAAAAACCCTCATTTTTTGGCTTGACTGGCCATTATTACCATATTTATTCATGTATAATACGATCTCACGTATAATACGACCCCCCCTTTTTTTTTTAGCTTAAAAAGCATAAAAAAATTTAATCCTCAAACTACCTCCAATTTCATACAGACTTCAAGATTTTTCAGCCTTTGCAGTCTTTATACAATACATATCAGTAAAATGATCATTGGACTGTTCATTTTATTTTAACAACATATGTACTAAAAGATATTTTGACAACAAATATATATCTGCTGTAGCAGCATCATATGAATTCTGGCATTTTACACATAGTCCACCAGGAGGCGCCAACACAAAAGTCAGAGACTTCACATGAGATTTGGACCATCTTCTGGGGGAAAAGCAGATTACTTCCTACTCGCGAGCGCCCCCTCTGGTGGGGAAACATTTTCCAGGGATACAAACTTTTTCAGAACGGCAGCCATTACAGACGAACATGTGTTTGTTGTTGTTCGAGGAGCGGCCCGGTTACATGCTAATGTCATTAGTTTGTTGTCATTACTAAGGTACAGGAATACTCCCCCCCCCCCTTTTTTCACATCATGTCACCTGCCTGGATCTGTTATTATCTCGCTCTGAAGCACGGAGGAGCATCAGAGGTAAGCTTGTTTTCAACTGCTTTTTACGACACGGTCTCATTTCCGGACTCAGGCATTTTGTGAATGAAGCTGATATTTCAGTTAAAATACATAAGTAAAAATATTTATCCGAGTATAGTACTACCCCCCAACTTCATGGATGATTTTATGGATTAAATTTTACGTATTATACTTGAATAAATACAGATAAACTGGTTGTGGTCCTGAAGAAGCTCAAAATCTCTAAACACCGGCCCTTTAAACCAATCCATTTCCCTCTACCTGTTATGGCAGTGGGATTTTTTGTTATGGCTTTTGATTTAATCGAGAGAACCTCTTGAGAAAAGGATCACACGGTCTGTACAAATTTATTGTTTACATTTTTCCCCCTCTGGAACAAACAGAGAACATGTCTGCTTCCTATCCCAGACTGTGGAGTCATCCTCCCTTTTGAGTGAACACCCACCCAGTCAAAATGATCTCTCATGAGTCAAACCTCAAAGAAAACGAGACGTTTTCAGACTGAGCTGCGACAGGTTTGATTGATGAGCTCTTGATCTGTTTTTATACCTCTGTCCATCCAACTTCCTGAGAAATGCTTCTGCACAAGCCTCACCGCTCTTCATCCTGATTGGTTTAAACTCAGCTGACAACAGAAAATTGGATCATGGTCACACAAAATGACAATTCTGTCGTCCAAGTCCGAAAAGGAAGCAAAACAAACATTCAGGATGGCCTGAAGAATAAAGAGGAAAAAAAGGAGAGAGAAAAAAAATAGAGCAAAGACTGTACAAAAGAGAAAAAAAGTGGGAAAGTGCGAAAGAGAGGTTGTAAAATAAAAGAGAAAAGAAGGAGGGGAGAGTTGAGAAAAGAGGGCAAGGAGGAAAAAAGTGAAGGAAAAGTTAAAATGTGTGAGCTGTGAGAACATGAGCAGGCGGAGCAGTGATGCAAACGGGTGGGATGGAATTTGCTCAAACGAAAGAGCCAAGGAAGTGTGCAGCTGTCAGGGACTTTTGTTCTCCTGAAAAACAGCCTTTTTTTCTCTTTGCGAAGCTTGTTTCAACACAAGGAAATATATGAAAATGTAAATCAGGACAAAATAAAACACAAGGTGAACTTATGGATGAATTTAGAAAAACAGCGGGTCAGGGATTGAAAAAAAAGACTAAAAATATGAGGATGAGCATTTTTTATGTTTGGAACAAAGTGGTGGAGAAGAGTAACGGAGGGGTGAGTGTTTGCATTGTGTTAGAAATGAAAAGCTGAACAGCAGAGAAACATCAGAACAAGGAGCAACGGATTATTAGTTTTCTCAAAGCACCATGTATCCCTCAGCCTCCCTGTGGACCCACAGCACACGTCAGCTCTCCACTGCGCATATGTTTCTACTATTACATGATAGGCTGCGGGGGGAAATATAGGAAAACCGTATCTGTGTGTGCATTGGGAGGGGGCAGCAGGAGGATGGGGGCTGGGCCGGTGGGTGGAGTAATGGCCACAAAGCTGCCGTTCCAACAATGAGCTCCTCCTTCACGTGCCTTCGGTTTTCCAGTCCTGGATCAGGACCCCGCCCTGCACCACCTCCCCCTTCTCCTCGCTGCTTCATGTCTGTCTTAACAATCGAAACAATGACAACACAACCTCAGAAGGAACCTGACCAATCAGCACCCTCCCTTCAGTTTCAGATCAGAAAAGCTACCCAAAAACTCAGGGAAAAAAATTTAATTTCTCGGTTTTCCCACTTGAAAAAGTTCAACTTGCTTTGTCTTTGTCACTTCACATCAAAGCAGTGGCTCCAAGGTGAGGACAGCATCATGGTCGCGCACAATTTATTTCAAAACAACAGGAGTCGACCAAAGTGCCGTACACATAAAAGGAGCAGGAAAACGCAAATAAAAGAAACAATAAAGAGAGACCACAACTAAAAACAGCACAGTCATGGTTGTGGGGTTTCTGTGGTGCATTGTTATTTTCTTTTTGGATTCTTTTAGCCTTTTTTCTGCGTGTTTCTCTTCCCGGTGTGGTTGGATTTTTGTATCTTTGTGTAGTCAGTCACTCAAGTTCCTTTTTATGCTCATTAACCCACTTTATCATGTTTACTAATCATTTGTGACCCATCACATCGAAACGAGGATTAAGTCCAAAAGTTTTATAAGGAGAAATAAACAAATATAGTGTTTTAACTAAAATGTTAACAAAATATGCATTTTGTCAAAAATATAATGAATAAATGCCTTATCAATGTCTCATTTGAATAAACTGTCTGAAATATAATCATAAAACTAAATTTTGAAGCACTAACTGAGTTCTATAAATGTTATTGATCAACATTGTTCACAGTTGAGGGTGAAAGTTGTCATACATTTTGTTCATATGCTTGTCACTTATCTACAAGGTCACATGTGACAAATTCAAGGCCCGCGGACCAAATGTGGCCTGTGGGTGACTCCCATTTGGCTCGCCAAGGGCACTNGACGTGGAGAAATAGTGCTTTGATTAAAACATTTGCAAAAATTGCATTTTGTCAAAATATAATGAATAAATGCCTTATCAATGTCTCATTTGAATAAACTGTCTGAAATATAATCATAAAACTAAATTTTGAAGCATTTTTTTGAGCAGTAGCAACAAAAAAACCTGATTTTGAGGAAAAATAACTTAAAATTTTGAGATTTTCCCTGTTAGCTAGCAAAGATTTGTTTCTGTTTAGCTGGGAAATCTCAATTTTCAAATATAACTTGAGGTTTCCTCTTTATAAGGACATCAAAAATTCCTCATTAAAATGACATCAAATTAGGACTCAGACCAAATATTTATGTATTATTGTAACCAACAAGACAAATTAAGTCATATATATGGATTTAATAATGATATCAGAATGATCCAGGTATCAAAATGTAGCTTTTAAAGCCAAGAATCTGAAAAACTAATTAGGTCATTTATCTCAAAGCTTCTCATTCTCACTCAGCCATTGTCACATCCTTGTGTTTGCTATGGTTATATCAGTCATGTTTCTACATTGGACCATTGTGCTCTCATCTGCCTGCCTACCTTTAGGTTTTTGGAGTAAAACCTTTGAATCATCCTGCTCATACCTAACTGACCACCCAAACCTTACCTTATGTGCAGAGAAAAGGACAGTACCTTAGTCTGGTTTAAATGTCAAAGAATAAAAATGAGTCTTAATATGGATCTTGTGTGTAGCTTCAGTAAAAAGCTTGAACTCCTCAGAAGAAACAGGTCTGCAGACGGCGCTGCTAACCTGGCCCTTCACTCCATTTTGCAGCATCTAGACACCCCAGGAACCTACGCGAGGATCCTATTTGTGGACTTCAGCTCTGCATTTAACACCTGCATCATCACCTCCTCCATCACTGTATGGTACACTGGGACCACAGGCAGAGACAGACAGAGACTGCAGCGCATTGTGCGCACTGCAACCTCCGACCTGTAGAGGAGAAGTACTCCTCCAGAACTCTAGGTGGCGCAGGCAGAGTAACAGCTGACCCTTCTCTCTTTTTTAGAAGCCACTTCAGTAGAAAACAGAACTGAAAATTAGCTTCTTCATCATCAGTGACTTTTTTATAAATGAGAAGAAGAAAAAGCAAGAGAATAAAAAGGAGAAATGTCATGGGTAACATTGAAAGAGAGATTAAAGAAGTTATGTGAAATATGTATAAACCAAGAAAACACATGACAACACACCCGACATCTGTCTGCACACCTGTAAAAATGGAGAAAAAAAAAACACAGCAACAAATAACGTGTATATCATAATAATAATTACAACTTGCTGAAATATATACATACACCCATACATACATATATAGACATACATACACAAATACATACATATATTTATATATACATATCCACATCCATATTACATATATACAGCGGGTAAAATAAGTATTAAACACGACAACATTTTTCTCAGTAAATATATTACTAGAGGTGCTAATGACATGAAATTTTCGCCAGATGTTGGTAACAACCCAAGTGATCCATACATACAAAAAATCAAACCATAAATGTCCAGAAATGAAGTTATTTGTAATAATGTGGAATGGCACAGGGAAAAAGTATTGAACACACTTACTGAAATTTATCTAATACTTTGTACAAAAGCCTTTGTTGTCAATGACAGCTTCAAGACGCCTCCTGTATGGAGAAACTAGTGGCATGCATTGCTCAGGTGTGATTTTGGCCCATTCTTCCACACAAACAGTCTTCAAATCTTGAAGGTTTCTTGGACCTCTTCTATGAACTCTGATCTTTAGTTCTTTCCATAGATTTTCTGTTGGATTCAGGTCAGGTGATTGGCTGGGCCATTCCAGCAGCTTTAGTTTCTTTCTCTGAAACCAACTGAGAGTTTCCTTGGCTTTGTGTTTGGGCTCATTGTCTTGCTGAAATGTCCAGCCACGTTTCATCTTCATCATCCTGGTAGATGGAAGCAGATTTTTATCAAGAATGTCTCTGTACATTTTTCCACTCATCCTTCCTTCAATTATTTGAAGTTTGCCAGTACCATATGCTGAAAAACAGCCCCACACCATGATGTTCCCACCTCCAAACTTCACTGTTGGTATGGTGTTTTTGGGCTGATGTGCAGTGCCATTTGACCTCCAAACATGATGTGTATTCTGGCATCCAAACAGTTCAATGTTGGTCTCATCTGACCAGACTATATTCTCCCAGTATTACACAGGCTTGTTTAAATGTTGTGCAGCAAACTTTAAAGGAGCTTCAACATGCTGTTTCTTCAGCAGTGGAGTCTTGCATGGTGAGCGTGCATACAGGCCATGGTGGTTCAGTGCATTACTTATTGTTTTCTTTGAAACAATCGTACCTGCTAATTCCAGGTCTTTCTGAAGCTCTCCACAAGTGGTCCTTGGCTCTTGGACAACTCTTCTGATAATTCTTTTCACTCCTCTGTCAGAAATCTTGTGAGGAGCACCTGGTCGTGGTCGGTTTATGGTGAAATAATGTTCTTTCCACTTCTGAATTATGGCCCCARCAGT